GTGAGCATAAAGTATGTTCATGTACAATTTTAGGTCTTTATTTTCGATTTCTATAGCACAAGAAAGTTTTTCATCATTTTTCAGAGGAGAATTAATACCGTAAGTCCCTTACTCAAACACCACAAGGCCACTGTGTAACTAAAGAAGAAAAAACTTTTTTTGGATTTGGATAGAATAGTAAGGGGTTAGGCGTTCGGGAGATTCACTCTCTCCAGTTGGCCTTATTACCAGTGTTATCTGGAAGAAAAGGGAGGTTAAAGCAAAATTTTGTGTTATCACCAGTGTCATAGGAGATTGAAAGGGGGACTTTTTCCTGTGGGAACACTTGCTCCCGTGAGAACTGTCTAAGTTCCCTCGCATTGAAGTCCTCTCACTTCCTGTCGAATATTCAGGACAGCAACTGAAGTAAAATCTCCCTTAGGCCTCATGCACACTGGACATTTTTACAGCTGCTGTTTTTGGCTACTGGCATTTTTTTCTACAGCCAGTAAACTCCCCACAATGTTATCTTATGTGTCCATGCACACATAGGTTTTAATCAGTGCTTTTTGGCTGGAAAAAAAAAAAAAAAAAAAAAGAAAAAAAAAACAGAACTAGTGGGTTTCAAGAGGAGTTTTATAGCTGTAAAAAAACACTCGAACGCTGGTACATGCAGTACAAAACTGGTGTTTTTGAGCCCAAATTTTTTTTGTGTAAAAAACACTAAAAAAGCTAACAAGGAAAAACAGGGCAAAATGTGGCAGAACGCTAATGTAAAAACCGCTAAAAAATAAAAAAAAACAAAATGCAGAATAACTTGCGTTTTTAACGTGACTTTATACAGCGAACGCTACCGGCATTTTAAAACCGCCCAGAGGACTAATAATAAATAGATAGCAAAAATAAAACTGACCGCGATTTTAACCCCTCCCTAATCTATCAAAAAAAAAAAAAACTAGAGAGGTGTAGTGGAGACACATGAAGGAAGCCAGGCAGGCAGTAAGTTCTCAGTCTGAAAGAAAAAAAACATACCAATTGGATGAAAATTGCAGGACAACTCTAGCTGCCAAGGGGCTTCTAATCTGGGTAATAGGGATGGTGCAGACACAAAGGAGACTGAAATGGTCAGCTACACTTGATAGGTAGGTAGTAAGGGTTCATGTACACTGCAGCTGCTAAACTCACGGTTAGGAGCTGTTCAGCGGTTTTTTCAGCAGCGCCTGAACTCACCCGAATGGTTTCCTATGTGTCCATCTACACAACTTTGTTTACAGGCAGTTGAGTTTTACAGTCGTTTTTTTAACGCAGAAAACTTGCATTCAGACATCGATTTTATCAGCGTTTCAGACGCAAAAAACGCTTGTAAATGCAGCTAAACGCGGCAAATCGCGTTTATAAGCATTTGAAAATTTTGTTTAACTCTTCCAATTCCCAATGCTGGCCAGAACCTTTTTTCATCATGAAAAATGCATGCAAAGCACTTTCAAGGTGCTCAGATGGACAAAACATTGAACACAGGATGTCCCTACCAAGCTTGTCACACATTGTAATGACCAATTCATACCTCAGACCTCTCCCACCCTTGGAAACAAATGATATGTTAATGACCATTCACACCTCAAATTCCTCATGAAGACCCCCTGCCAGGTGGCCTTAATGACTCCCTCCACCAAACACCTGTCCCACCCTTGGAAACAAAACAAATGTTAATGAGCAACTCACACCTAGCTAATGTCAACACATACTGCTGTGTCTTATTCTACTCTGTGTATTTCCCTGAAACAGTCTGGAATAGATAATTTACCACTTTTCAGTGCATTCTGGGCATTTGGGAGGTTCTCCTGTACTCATCTTTAAAAAACGCTTCTAAAACGCAAACGCACATAAACGCAGTATGCAAACGCTGCAAAACAGACGTTTTTTAACCTGCAATTTGCTGCTGTCAATTTCCAGCATTCAGAAATGTTCTCCAAACATCCTGTGTACATGAGCCCTAAGACTTTCCTGCAAACCTTTGGGTGATCAGGGTACACAATCAGACACAAAAACGGCCAATTCTGACATTTCTCTCCTACATGTATAAATCAATTTTTTTTTTGCTAGAAAATTACTTGTAATCCACAAACATTTTTTTTTTTTCGTTCAGCAGAGGCCCTAGAGAATAAAATGGTGGGCATTGCAATTTTTGCACAGTACTTACACAGTGGTTTTTCAAACGCAAATTTTTGGGGAAAAATACACTAATTATTTTTAATCCAGAAAAAAAAAAAAAAAAAAAAAAAAAATCGCAACAACAAAAACACAATATTCGACCCACTTATTGGTAAAATATAAAAGAGGACATTACAGCAAGTAAATATATACCCAACATGCCATGCTTTAAAATTGCACATGCTCATGGAATGGTGCCAAACTACAGTACTTAAAAAATCACCATAGGCAAAGATTTAAAAAATTTTTTTTTACAGATTACCAGTTTTGAGTTGCAAAGGAGAGCTGGTGCTAGAATTATTGCTCTTATAATACCATTCGATGCAATACCTTACATGTCTGGTTCAAGCACAGTTTACATATGCGGGAGAAACCTACGTATGCGTTCACCACTGCACGCAAGCACAGGGGGACAGAGATGTTTTAACATTTTTATTATTATTTATTTTTTAATTTTTACACTGTCCCTTTTAATTTTTTTTTTTATCGCTTTTATTCCTGTCACAAGAAATGTAAACATCCCTTGTGAAAGGCTGAGAAATAAGACATGATAGGTCCTCTTTATGGAGATATCTGGGGTCTATATGACCCCAGATCTCTCCTCTATGCTGGAGATCAAAAAAAAAAAAAAACAAAAAATAGATCTCTAATGTCCAGAAAAAATTGCAGTGTTTACATTTTCCAAAACCAGACGTGATGTTATGACATCGCTTTCGGACTCCCAGGACCATAGAAATGAAGAGGGGAAGGGAGATAGGAGGGATAGGGCAATATTGCAGGTTGGGGGGATTTATACAGATGAAGGTGGTGTAGATGGGCAGAGATCAGTGTACAGGGCCAATGTCACCTGGGGGATACTGTGCTCTAGGCATGCAGAGCAGACCTGGGAAATGTTCTCCTACCTCCATTGAGCTTACCATGCATACATGTATTTTGAGATCATGAATGCAATGATCAAAAGTAATTAAAAATAGACAGAAAATGAGTTAATTCTAAAATAGATGCGTGTCTCAAGAAGCACTGATAAATGTCAGTACCCCCATGGTAGCTGTGCCCCTAATGCTCTCAGTGTACAGAGCTCTGTGCAGGCCTGGTGGAGGGTCTATGAGTAGAGGAGTGCTGATAATCTTCATGGCCCCCTGTGCTCTCTATATAGCAAAATAGCAACATGCTCCAATCAGAAATTAGAAAATAATTTGCTTGTTGAAGAAAGTTACTATAATTTAAACTCTGTGCATTCCTATTTGGACGTGGCAGCAAATATCACAAACATTCCTTAAAGGTCAGTATTACTACAGAAGATGCTGCGATTGGTGAATGTTAGTCTCCTGGTGCTTAGATTGTTGTCCTGCAAGCTGGAAAATCTGTGAGCAGGGTTAGGCTGTGTGCGCAACCCGCTGCAAATTGCTTGCAGCTTGGCAAGTTGACAAGTGACACCGCCTGTCAAATTTGGTCATTCATATCAATGGAACTGTGCTGCAACCACAAGCCAAAATGCTTGCCTGATTGTTGAGGAGCATTCGTTCCATTTAAAATTGCTTGATGGCAGAGGAATAAAAGCAAACTGGGGAGGCAGAAGGATAGCCTCACTTTTCAGAGACAGCTTCAGTGTGAACCTAGCCTTACGGGAAAAAAAAAAAAAAAAAAATCTACCCTTGCAGTGGAACCCCCCTGCACTCCAAGGGTTAAACGCCCTTTATGTCTATGCCTTAGGGTGCAGGAAAAAAGATCAATGCCTACTTTATCCCACGCTCCAGCAATGTCCCTCCAGTCGTGTGATTGGTCCCCTGCAGCCTTTTCGCTAAACTGCAGTCACACGCTTGCCTCCACTATATGGGATGCAGAGTAAATAGCCCTGAGTTGTTTGAGATGATAGCAAGGGACTGCTCACAGACCAGAGCTTCAGGGAGGTACTGGAGTTGGCCGGAGTGGGGGATATAGTAAGTAGCCCTGCCTGTTCCTCTACCCCCTAGGCCTAGACAAACATTTAACTGTTGCAGTGCGGGGGTGGGAACCCACTGCAAAGATACATTTTTCTAATTCCTGGAGTTAGGCTTTAAAAGTTGTAAAAGATTTTTGAGATTAGGTTTATTACGCACTTGTTTTGTTTTTTTTAACATGTTTATACACAGTGATTATTTACCGGCCTACTCAGTTTTACAGAAAGCAAAATGTTTAAAATCAACTATGCTCAGCACAAATAACATTCCAGTCTGCTTTCGGTAATTAGTAAAAGTGCACAATATGTTTTTTAGAGTTCTGTCTGGAATAGCTGCAGACAAAATCATGAAACAATAAACTGAAAAATTTCCATAATAAGCACTGTTCACAAATTGTATTCTAAAGACTAAGCACCTATCATTATACTAGAACGGCTATTTTATAGTAAACACCATTAAAGTTTTTGTTTGTGAAGAACAATAGCCACTTTTAGAAACTACTGCATACAACCTCACACGTTATGTTTGTTTAAAGCGCTAACTAACCTTAACCACTTGCCCTCCAAACGATTTACCTCCCTTCCTGACCAGGCCATTTTTTTGCGATACAGCACTGCGTTACTTTAACTAGTAGCCGACCGCAGATAGCCGAATGACGGCTGCACTGCGGCCGGCCAGTTCTGGGTGGACGTCATATGACGTCCTCCCAGAACGCGCTCTCCTGCGCGCCCCAGGGGGCGCACACCCGGCGATCTCCGTGATCGCTGTGTCCTACGGACACAGCTGATCACGTGATGTGGTAAAAGGCCAATCACAGCAGCCTTTTACCACGTGATCAGCGGTGTCCAATGACACGCTGATCAGAGGGAAATGCAAGTGCCGGTTCTCGGCTGCACTTTCCTCACGCTGTCAGATCGTGAGTAAAGTACTGCCGAGAACCGGCAGTTGTCAGAGCGGGGATCGGCACCGATCATCAGGGCACTGATGATCAGTGCCCTGATGATTGGTGCCCAGCAGTGACACCCGCAAGTTCCGCTCACCTGTGCCCAGCAGTGCGCCCACTACTCCGTCCACCCGTGCCCAGCAGTGCCCCCACCTGTGCCCAGCAGTGCACCCACCTGTGCCACTCTGCAGTGCCACCTACCTGTGCCCAGAAGTGCCACCCACCTGTGCCCAGCAGTGCCACCCACCTGTGCCCGCCCACCAGTGCCCCCACCAGTGCACCCACCAGTGCCACCCACCAGTGCAGCCCAGCAGTGCAGCCAGTCAGTGCCACCAGTCAGTGCCCAGCGGTTGTGCCAGTCAGTGCCGCCAGTCAGTGCCCAGCAGTGATGCCAGTCAGTGCTGTCTATCAGTACCCATCATCAGTGTCACCTATCAGTGCTGCCTATCAGTGCTGCATATTAGTGCCGCCTATCCGTGACACCTCATTAGTGCTGTCTATCAGTGCCGCCTATCCGTGCCACCGTCATTAGTACTGCCTATCAGTGCCCTTTAGTGCTGCCTATCAGTGCCCATCAGTGCCGCCTATCAGTGCCGCCTCATCAACATCACATCAACACACATCAGTGAAGGAGAAGAAATACCTGTTTGAAAAATTTTATAAAAGAAACAAAGAAACTTTTTTTTTTTTTTTTTCAAATTTTTTGCACTTTTTTTATTTATAGACCAAAAAGTAAAGCGCCCAGTGGCAATTAAATACCATCAAAAGAAAGCTCTATTTGTGAGAAAAAAATGATCAAAATTTCATATGGGTACAATGTTGCATGACCGCGCAATTGTCAAAGTGCGGCAGCGCTGAAAGCTGAAAATTGGCCTGACAAATAAGGGGGTATAAGTGCCTGGTAGGCAAGTGGTTAACTGAAATTTATGTTTTTTTCCTCACAAATAGAGCTTTCTTTCGGTGGTATTTGATTGCATCTGAGTTTTTTATTTTTTGCGCTATTAAAAAAAAAAAAAGACCAAACAATTTTGACAGGAAAAAAAAAAAAAACAAAAACAATATTTTTTACTTTTTGCTCTTAAATATGTCCAGTAAAATTAGAAAAAAAAATGTCATCATAAATTTTAGGCCGCAAAGTATTCTGCTCCATGTCTTTGCTAAAAAAAAAAAAAAAAAAAAAAATAAAAAAAAAATCACAATACATGTAAATTAATTGGTTTACATGAAAGTTATAGTGTTTACAAATGGCGGTATATATATACTGGAATTTTTTAGTTATTTATTTTTTTTATACTAGTAATGGCGGTGATCAGCGACTTATAGCGGGACTGCGTCGGGCATTCTGACACTATGGGAGGGGAACTGACTGTCACCGACATCCCCAGTGACACCAATACAGTGATCAGTGCTAATAAAATGCCTTGACTCTGTACTAATGGCTCTGGGCAGGAAGGGGTTAACATCTGGAGTGATCTCAGAGTTATCTGTGTGCTGTTTTACTGTGTGCTGTGTGTCTGTGCTTTACAATGTAAGCACGCTGCTTTGTATGTCTCTGCTATGCAGAGCCATACAAAAGCAGTGTGCAGGAGCTGATGGGAGAGATCTGTATGGTTTACTTACAGTCTCTCCCCTGTCCATGATACATGGCGATCATCGGGTGCCAGTGGGGAATCACCAGACGGGACCTAGTAATTGACAGATGAGGCCGCCTATGGAGGTGCATGCGCCCCCTACCCAGAAATGCAAAATCACACATATACACATTTTATATATATATATATATATATATATATATATATATATATATATATACACACACACACATACACACATATACATACATACATACATACATACATACACACACACACACACACACACACACATATATATATATACACACACACATACATATACACACACACACGCTTTTTTGCACCCCTGCCACCCTGTGTCAGTATTTCTGCTATAGAGTAGCAGGAAAGCGGTTAAAGTCTGATTCAGTGTGACCGAAGCCTCAGGGTTGCATGTATACATTTTGTTCATACACAATTCACTAAAATTTCAACAAAGATTCACATAGTTTTACAATTAAATCCAATAATAAAAAAGTGTGAATCCTGTGTGAAGGCTACATGAATCTTGTGTGAAAACATTTATAACTAGAACACTTAGATTTTCCCTGAAAAGGAAAAAAAGAAATATGTTTCCCGGCATCCAATCACTTAAAGACATCACATGATCAGCCTTTTTCATCTACAACTAATGTGCATTGTTCATTTCCTGAACTAAAAATATGTTTGCTTCCACACGTACATCAGATGATGTAATTTTACTGGTCTTACCAGATTTGTGTATGCAGACAGCAAGTTATCAGTCATAACCTAAGTAAAAAGTGGCTTGACAAGCTCAGAAGTTGCACTTCTTGCTGAAATCCAGCCTAGACCACTATTGTCTAAATAAAAGAGGCATGTCTATTCCTACTTGACTCTTAGGGGTTTATTTACTAAAGCTGGAGAGTCCAAAATCAGACTCCCTTCTGCATAGAAACCAATCAGCTTCCAGGTTTCATTGCCAAAGCTTCATTGAACAAGCGGAGGTTAGAAGCCGATTGGTTTCTATGCAGAAGGGAGTCTGATTTTGGACTCTCCAGCTTTAGTAAATAAACCCCATAGTGTCCTTTATTTCTGATTCCTGTACTTAAAGGGTTACTAAACCCAGGACACCAAATTCACTGTACCTGGGTCTTCCACAGTACATAGCTCATTGATACTTCCTCCAGCTTTCAAAATGAAAGCTTGCACAGAGGTATGGGCAGAAAACAGAAGGCCATGTCTGCAGGAGCCTGACATTGCACCCGTGATTCACAGATCATCTTCAGTAAACTGTCTGTGCTGATGGGGGAATCAGCTCGTGGTTGCAGGAAAGGAATTTGCTCAGTCTATGGCCAGCCTAAGGCTTAACAGAGTTTTTTTCAAATATAATGTACACATTCTTTAAAGCAATAGTAAACTCTTCTTGGTCACTTGTACTTACAGGTGAGCTTATAATAAAGCTTGCCTGTAGATACATTAAATATATCTCCTAAATGTACACGGTTTAGGAGATATTCACAATTTCTGCTGGCGGTGACATCACCGGCACATATGCACTGTGCTCTGCATTGAGGGCACACTGAATGTGACATCATTCCAGAGCGTTGTGCTGTGATTGTGAATCCTGTGTGTGGATCAACTATTCAAATGGGGGGAGCCCTTGAACCTGGAAGAAGACTGGGTGAAGATGGAAGCCCGGGCAGTTGTGACAGCGTGAGGTGTCCACTTTACAGGCAAGTCTGTCATAATGTGCTAGTATGTGGTGCATACTACCACATAATGCCATTAAAGTATCACTAAACCCAGGACCCTGCATTCACTATATCTGGTCTCCCACAGTACACACAACATGGAAATGCAATTATTTTAGTAAATATAAACTGCTAAATACATTTTCCTATCAGAAGTTAGAGTAGTCTTGTGACTTCTATCAGTGTCCGGCCCAGCACTAGCTGAAGCTTGTAGGAGGAGTTTTCATTTTGCTCTAGCAGGAAGCAAAACCCCTGGCCTCTGTCTGACCAGGGCTCATTGTCCCTGTGCTGATCACATGCACTCTCCCAAGAAAAAACAAAACAAAAAACCCCTCTCTAGCAATACACACCAAACTGAGCATTTGCAAAATGCCTACAGTTCAGTCTGTCTTATTAGCAGATAAGAGGTGGCCGCTTGTAAAAAGGGGAAGAACATAAAAGAAAGGATCAAAGGGCATTTTTACACAAAGCAGAGGATTAACCCCTTAGGTTCCGCAGTGAGGGTAACAAGCATGCTTTACTGTGTATACACAACTGATTTTACTGTTGTGGGTTCAGTAACACTTTAAGACTGGTCATTGCTGCTCTCCTTTGTTGTGAAGGCTAACAGGTCTTGTATACATCCCCCTGTAGTTTTCTATAGACAGGCTGTAGTGGGTGGGTCTGCTAGGTTCCTCTCACAACTTTGCTCTCTGTATAGGTTATATGAAGCACACCAAGGCTAATTTTACAAGGTTATATCCAGGTTTGTAAAAGGTATTTTGTGCACACATAGCAGATTTATATAAATTTATGGTTGTTGAGGAAGACATTTACATTAAAAAGTGGTAGTAAATTCTATTTTCTTATTTTTATCTATAGGTAAACTTATAATAAAGCTTATCTGTAGGTAAAATTAATATCTCCTAAACGTGCAAAGTTTAGAGATATTCTAGTGAGTGGCAGCTGGTGACATCACCAGCGCTTGAGGTCTGAAGGAACAGCATACCCGTGCCGTTCCTTCAGTGCTCTGTGCCGTGGCCGTGACTCCCATGCGCATATGTGGGAGTGTTGTCATTCCGGTGCGGCCATTCAAGCTGCAGCTCAGGAACCCAGAAGGAAGACCGGGTGAAGATGGAAGCCTTTGCAGCGGTGACAGCATGCCTCTAGAGGGCTAGGTTTCAAGGCGAGTCTTTCATAATGTGCTAGTATGCAATACATACTAGCACAATATGCCTTTTACCTGCAGGAGGAATTATTTTATTTTTAACCACTTGCCTACCAGGCACTTATACCCCCTTATTTACCAGGCCAATTTTCAGCTTTCAGCGCCGCCGCACTTTGATTGACAATTGCGCGGTCATGCAACATTGTACCCATATGAAATTTTGATCATTTTTTTCTCACAAATAGAGCTTTCTTTTGGTGGTATTTAATTGCCACTGGGCGCTTTACTTTTTGCGCTATAAATAAAAAAATTGCAAAAAATTTGAAAAAAAAAAGTTTCTTTGTTTCTGTTATAAAATTTTTCAAACAGGTAATTTTTCTCCTTCACTGATGTGCGTTGATGAGGCAGCACTGATGGGCACTGATAGGCGGCACTAAAGGGCACTGATAGGCGGCACTAATGAGGTGGCACGGATAGGCGGCACTAATATGCAGCACTGATAGGCGGCACTGATAGGTGACACTGATGATGGGTACTGATAGACGGCACTGACTGGCATCACTGCTGGGCACTGACTGGCGGCACTGACTGGCAGCACTGCTGGGCTGCACTGGCGGGTGGCACTGGTGGACAGCACTGGTGGGTGGGCACAGGTGGGTGGCACTGCTGGGCAGAGGTAGGTGGCACTTCTGGGCACAGTGTGTGTGACACTGCAGAGTGGCACAGGTGGGTGCACTGCTGGGCGGAGCTAGTGGGCGCACTGCTGGGCACAGGTGGGTGGAACTTGCGGGTGGCACTGCTGGGCACCG